ATAGACTTAAGGTCTCCAATTCTGCTTCTGCTGTAGATGGCAAAAAGCATAGCACCTGCAGCAAATCGATCCTGACAAGGCTTTGATGAATCTCGGACATAATGCTCAAGAGCAGAAACCTCAGAAGCCAGGAACGGTCTGGCTTGCTTCCTAGCAGGCCTTTCCAGTTTGGCCTTGCGAATCCTGCCATTTAGCAAAGGATGGCTGAGGGCCCTGGGTGCCATGTCCACTCCAAGGACATGATGGAGAAACTGACAAGTTTCAATCACTCCAGTAAGCGCACTGAACTTCGCACCATCTTTCACAAGAAAGTCAGTGTACTCCAGAACGACTTGCTCATCGATAGGAAACACCGACATGTTCTGATCAACGCCCCAAGTGATCATTCTCGAGGCAACCCGAATCCGGGCCTTGAGGGTGTTCAGGGCCTTACCACCTAAGGCTTGAAGCACCAAGTCCACGCGCTCTTCCCTGGACTTGTGGTGGATGGTACGACCAAGGGATGAGGCCTCGTAGGCATGAGCGAGCACCAGCTCAAAACGTTGTGCCATCATGTATTGTCGCTCGGACAGGTCAAGAACATGCTTCTTGGCGATAGGCTTCACAACAAACCTCTGAAACAGGCACTGCACGGAAAACGAAGGCACCTCGACACTTGCCTCCACACTCACCTCATCAACAGGCTTGCACACTGGGGCCGGCGCAACTTTAGGCCGGCAAGGAACTGAGCTTGCTGTACCGAAAACCGGACTCATCACGGGAGTCTCCCAGGGAAGCACAAGGGCCGGAGGAGCCACACACTGATGCGCTTCTTGAAGCATATCATCAAGCACACTAGCTTTCCTCTTCCCCAAGGACTCAAGGCTCTCCTGGCTACCCCTTGAAGAAGAGCCGGGGAGGTCCATGATGAAACTGTTGAAATCACGGCAGGCTGCGGCAGAAAATCCAAAAGTCAGCGATGATGCTTAGGGCCAAGCAGGCCAAGGCAACCTCGAACTGCTCACGGTGATCAAGACAACAAGAATTGAGAGCAGCAGCAGCGGCTGGGCTAAGGTAAGCCAGCAAGACACAGCTGACACGAGGGTCAAGGATGCACCAAAGCTGATCAATTAAACTGATTTCGGAAGAGGCCTTCGTAGAAGGAAGAGAGGCCGAGCTCTCTGTGTCCTCTTCGTCCATCTGCCAGCCCCGCAGGGGGCCGGCGTGCACTGAGCCCTAATGGCAGCCTTGTGGTAGGAGCCCTGAGCCTGCTAAAAGAAAACTTTGTTTTCGCACTCCAGCAAGAGCCCAATGCTGCGACATGGTAAGTGATTTCACAAATAAAATGATGCAAGTAGTGGAAATTATAAATT